AAGGAACAAGACGTAAGTCCAGATGCACGCCTCTGCCTGATGCCTGGTAGGCCTGCATTCCAGGCCGAAAGCCAAGGAAAGAGCAGGAGGGGGGGTCTCTCTCTGTCTCTCTCTCTGAGGGAGAGAGGGAGGGGGAAGAGAGAGAGAGAGAGAGAGAGAGAGAGAGAGAGAGAGAGAGATCGTGTCCACACAGTCTGTGCTGTTGGAAAGATCCCCCATGCCACACCTCAGCCAGGCTAGCCAGCCCCCAGTACAAAGAGCAGGGGTGAGTGCTGCCTGCCTCCAGCCCCGCGGGTCGGGGAGTAGACCTGGAGGCCGGAGGGGAAATGAGAAGGGACCAGCTCCCTTCCTCAAACTACACCCTTTGCCACCTGCCAGCACTCACTCTTCTCTGCTTCCTTTCAGGGAACCCCCTCCTGGCTGCGGCCACATTCCCTCCAATGCCGCCCCCGCACCCCCAGGCCCCTCCTCTGCGCCAGGGTGGGAGCCGCAGCGATTCAAGTTATTTTTAGCCAAACTGCCTCCTCCAGGAGATTCAAGTCAAGGGGAAGCCGCCCCCGCGCCTCCAGGAGCTGCTTGCGGAAAGCGACCGATTAAAACCAGTACTGCGCGGGCTGGGTGCCAGGCGGGCAGTGGGCGGTGAGACAGTCCTCTCCCCCGCTGGCTCCGAGTGCTGCTGTACGTCGTTAAGAGTGCCGGGGGTCCCCAAACGCCCTTTATTGCCACCTCTCAGCCTCTGGTCTTCAGACCAGCCCACAGGTCCTGCTCTAGCTCCCCCTCTCGCGCCCACTCCAAACCACACCCACATCCCAATCCATTCTAAGCAATACACTAAGAGAGCAGGCAATCTCTCCTCCCATCAGGAGGGATTTGGGGGTAGAGCAGGGGAACCTCTATTTTGCCTGTCTGGCTTTCTGCCCCGTCCGTCCGTTCCGTCCGTCCGTCCATCCATCCATCCATCCTCCCTCCCTCCCTCGTCTCCCACCTCCTTGTCTCTCTTCTCATTCAGCAGGGTCTCTTGTAGCCCAGACTGTATCAAACCTACTGGTAGGCTAGACTCCTTGACTTGTGATTTTCTTGCTCTTAGCTCCCGAGTTACATTCTGGATTTATGGGCTCTAGCAGGCTTGAACATGCCGTCGACAGATTTTGCCTTTTCCTCTTCTCCCCCATTCCCTCTGCCTTGCTAACCCATCAGATTTGCATTCCTAAGGCTGCACACCAAGGTCTGTTCCCTTAGTTGGCCACTTCCTCCTCCTGAGGCTGACCACCAAGGTCCAGCTATCAAAGTATTGAAGTCCAGCAATCAAAAGTCCCCTTTTGGCTATCCTAACTAACATGGCCAGTGAAAGTTAACCACCTCATCCTAACACGGGGATTCCCTCTATAAACTGACAATTGCCTGTGGGCCAAGTCTGTCTCCTCTCTGTCCAGAGGCGTCCTTTGTCCCTCCTGGGCAAATATCCCTTCCTCTCCCTTGTTCCTTTACCTTCCCCCTCTTCCTCTCTCTCCTGTCTGTGTCTCTTATTCCCTGTCTTCTGTCTGTCTGGGACAAGTAAATCTCCTTAGTGCTGAGAACTTGGTCTTGGGGTGTCTCGGGCCAATACTGTTTCTTGAATTCAAGAGGTGCATACCACCATGCATGGCTCAAGTCACTCTTTGTCTTTTGGGTGAACATCAGTCAGGAAGAGAAGGCGTCTCGCTGGAAGCTTCTGGTCTTCAGGAGTTACTAAGAGACAAAGGCTAACGTGTCAGTCAAACGTAAGGGGCAGGAGAGTAGCCCAGGGGTCAACCATGGCCAGAGAGCCCCTGTGTGAGCAGGTCATGGGGTCAGGGTCCTATAGATGCTTGGCACGAATGGGTCTGGAGACCTCACCCCAACCCCCATGGTGGGGTGGGGGTATCTGCTCAAGGGGACAAGCTGCCGGAGAAGGAGTCTGGTCATGAGAGAGTGCCTGAGAATGTGGAGATTTTCCCAGCACAGCAATGGGAGGACATCTTAGGGACGAAGGGGCCCTGTATCTCCCAGCTCCCTCTGCCTGGGAGCCGTTTCACAGGAAAGACATCAGCTTCCTTCCTCAAGCGGTCATCAGTGTCCAGGCCCAGAGATCCCCCAGAGGCAGTTTGCCGGAAGAGAAAGGCTCCGTTCTCTTTCCTCAACCTCAGTCTTCGGCATTGTGGGATTTCCGAGAGGGCTTGGTGAGACTGTAGCAAGGTCGGGTCATAACCATGCCAGGCTCCCTAGCTCCTGTCCCACCGGCAGGCTCTTTTCCCTGCCTGACCCTGGGTTAGGACTGAGTTCAGGAGAGGTATGACACCCCCCACCTACCCCCCCCCCCAACCACACAACACAGTGCCAGGTCTCAGGAGCTTCAGGAGCGCTCTGACAGTTAAGGAAGTCCGGATCAGCTGGGAGAGCTGTGGGACACACTTGGCCCGTGTCCTGTCCAGCCTGCGGTGTCCTTCCTTCCTTCCTGTCTGACAGGCCCACAAGGCCGGCGGCCTTTTCCCAAGAGGGTTCCCAGGCCTCTCCTCCACCCCTGCCCCCCGTGGTCCTTTTCTGCTCAAGCTCTCCACTCTGGGTGCTGTGTTCCCCAGCCCCCAGCACTCTAGGTGGTGGCAGCAGTGACCTGGCCCTAACAGACACAAGGTTGGGACTTGAGTCTTTCGAGGATGGCCACCCATCTGCCGGGTGGAGCTTGAAGCTCACCCTGGGTCTACAACGTCCCACCCAGGAATCTCCCCAGCCTGTGTGGAGGGGATGGAGAAACAAGGGAGCAGGCTTAGCAGCCCTCGGGCAGTTAGTTGAGGCAGCATGGGCTGATGGTGGAGGCAGGCACCTCTCAGAGCCCAGGACCCGGTGGGGGCAGGGCAGGCTTTCTGGGGATCCCTAGGAGGAACTGCCAGACACTCCCCCCCCCTCCTGTGGCCATCCTTGCTTGGCATGCCTCAACACTCTCTTCCCTCCCTAACTAAGCCACATACTTCCCTCCTGCCACTGGACTAGGTCCTTCTCCCCAGCCTCAGTTTCCCCATCCATTAGCCTGTTGATCTTGGCAAGAGGGGCTTGCAAGCCTCAGACTACTGGAAGAGGCTGGGGACTCAGAGAGTCAGGGCCTGAAGTCTTTGGGCCATGATAGCCCTCTCATCCATTCAGAGGAATTCTTTGAAAGGTCACCTCATCCTGCCCTCTCTCCCGCTTTAAGAGCCTTCCAGAAGATCCCCAGGGAGGGGCGGTCCTGGGAGGCAGTCAGAGCTTTAACCCCGGGACTGCATGGTGGTGAGCAGAGTCCTCTCTCCCAACCCCCAGGCGCTTCTTTAGCCTGGGGGGGGGGGGGGGGGGGGGGGGGGGGGGGGGGGGGGGGCAGCAAGAGGGGAATCCAGACAAGAAGGGGTTACAAGAGAAAGGGGAACTGGAGGGGGGTTGTGGTTGCCTAGGCAACAGCATTGCTGGGGCCAGTGGAGGCTGCTGGGGAGGGAAAGGAGAGGGGTGTCCCTCTCGGCCCTGGGCTTTCTTCCTGTTCTGATGCTCTTTGTTAACGCCTTAGCCTCCTTTTGTGTCTGGGGGTGGGAGTGGGGAGCCACTTGAGGGGTTCGTTCTGCCCAGCGCAGCTCACCTATCCTGTCCCTCCCCCCTCCCTCCCTCCCACCTTCCTGTCTGCTCAGTCTTTCTAGATTCTCACCTGCCAGCTTGTCTTCCCAGACCAGCAACATGGCCCTGACCTGAGCAGACCAGGACCGGTCCCCCTCCCAGGGACACACATACCTCCTTTCTGAGCCCGCTGAAGGTTGACAAGAAAGCCTGAGGAGAAAAGCCACCTCCTCTCGCCCCCTCACCCCAGACATTCCAAGTGTCTGTTGGCCAGAGAAGCCAGGGACTTTTATGTCACCTGGATGTCGTTGTTATTGGTATCTTTGCATGGTCTTGTGGAGGACAAACCATCCTGTGTCTCCCTGGATCCTAGTGTGACGTGTCGAGGATGCCTCAGGGCGGTGGGACCTCTGGAAGGACCCTGCTTTCCAAGCTGTGATGTGGGTGACCAGAACATCGTTGACCCTCAACTGCTGTGCGGCCTCTGGAGCTGACCCTCAGCCTCCAGGACACACAGCCTGGGCTCTGGCTTCCTGCTCCTTCAGTGATAGATGCTGCAAACTGAGGTTCAGTGAGGGGAAACGCTCTTCTGGCCAGTGGAAGTCAGAATTTAAACCTAAGTGCAATGGTGCTAAAGGCTGTCCCTTTAACCACTGGAAGGCATGGCTTTGGGAAACCTGGAAGTGGCCCAGAGAGGCTGTGCCTAGTGGTGCCCAGAGTCCCCTTCTCTTCTCTGGGGGAAGACATTGCAAAACCATCCTAGGAGTCTTTAGTCCAAGGACCTGACATAAGAACCAACCTAAAATCCCGGGACCGTTTTTGCAGATTTGCCATCCAGAAAGGAATAAGACGTGGCCTCAGCCTGGGCGGCTGCAGACCTTCCCAAGGGAGGGAGCAGAGACGCCTGCTGCCGTTGAACTCCGTCTATAGTCCCATGCTGCCCCCTTGTGGATAGTCTCACATTTCCCTTTGGGACACATCAGCCCTGAGCAGAGGGAATTCAGTGGCCTGGAGCGGCAGGGGTCTGTGAAGACATAGCAATGGACTGGCCTGCACCTCCCACTTCTGCTGAAACTGAAGATCCTGAGCCCCGGGGTGATGTCCCACGCAGCACTTCTTTCTCTCTCCCCGGAGCTTTGAAATCCAGGCTCTTAGCAGGAAGGGAACATAAGAATTGTATTTTTCCGGGCTGCAGAAATGACTTCATGGTTAAGAGTAAGTGTTGTTCTTCCAGGGGACCCAAATTCAATTCTCAGTGCCCATGCCTAGTGACTCACAACTGCCTGTAACTCCAGCTTCGGGGCATCTGATGCCCCTGGCTTCTGCGGGTCTAGTACACCCGCAGAAATCCACATGATTTCACATTATTAAACATAATGAAATAAGGGGCTGGAGAGATGGTTCTGTGGTTAAGAGCACTGACTGCTCTTCCAGGAGATCTGGGTTCAGTTCCTACATGGCAGCTCACAGTGGTTTGTGACTCCAGTCCCAGAGGATCCAACACCCTCACACAGACATACATGAAGGCAAAAACACCAATGCATTAAAAACAAACAAACAAACAAACAAAACCAGGCAGTAGTGTCAAATGCCTTTAATCCCAACACTCGGGAAGTAGAGGCAGGAGGATCTCTGTGAGTTGGAGGCCAACCTGGTCTTCAGAGTGAGCTCCAGGACAGCCAAGGCTACAAAGAGAAACTCTTTGTTTTGAAAAGCCAAAAATGAGTAAACAAATACATAAAACATTTTTAATTGTATTTTTTAAAAGATTTATTTATGCTGGGCGGTGGTGGCACACGCCTTTAATCCCAGCACTCGGGAAGCAGAGGCAGGCGGATCTCTGTGAGTTGGAGGCCAGCCTGGTCTCCAAAGCGAGTTCCAGGAAAGGCGCAAAGCTACACAAAGAAACCCTGTCTTGAAAAACAAAAACAAAACAAAACAAAAGATTTATTACATATACAGTGTTCTGCCTGCATGTATCCCTGCAGGCCAGAAGAGGGCACAAGACCTCATTACAAATGGTTGTGAGCCACCACGTGGTTGCTGGGAATTGAACTCAGGACCTCTGGAAGAACAGCCAGTGCTTCTAACCTCTGAGCCATATTTCCAGCCCAAAAATTGTATTTTTCACCCTTCATTCCCTGTTCCTGATGTTTTTTCCTCCAGCCTCAGCTGCCGTTTGCATAGCTCTTGTATTAGGACGGTCCCTATCCACAGGAGCAGACAGTGCCTTGGAAACAGTTTGGAGGGTCAGGGTATCTCCTACCCCAAGCTGACCTGGAATCCCACATGCAGTCAAGGATGGCTTTGCAGGTATGAAATGTGTGCATTCAATTCTTCAAACATTTATCAGGTCCTCACATACACCTAGTACTGTGATACCACTAACATAACCCCAGCTGCCTCCAACCATGTTACTTTGCTGAGCTGTCTCCGTGGAAGCCCACTTAGATTGAGATGTGGATCTGGAGAGGTCGAAGAAGGCTGTGTGGTTTAGATAGCTGGCGTCTGGATAGTTCAGTCCAAGTTTGCCTTGTCACTCAGGCTTCCATCCTTCCCCATCCAGGATGAGACTGGCTGATCCATGCTCTGCTGAGTTCAGCCAGCGTTCTGCCCAAACACTATAGCTCAGAGAAAGGCAAGATGGCCCTAGAACTCACTCTGTAGACCAGGCAGGCCTTGAACTCAGAGACCTGCCTGCCTCTACCTCCCAAGTGCTGGGATTATAGGATTAAAGGTGTGTGCCACCACCACCCTCTCACAAAGGATTTTCTTTTTAAAAAAAAAAAATCTTTTTTTTTCTTATTTGTATGAATGTTTTGCCTGTATGAGCACCACGTGTGTGCCTGATACCCATGGAGGTCAGAAGAGGTCATTGGATTCCCCTGGAACTGGAATTACAGATGGTTGTGAGCTACCGTGTGGGTGCTGGGAACCAGGTTCCTTGCAAGAGCAACCAGTGCTCTTGAACAGCTGAGCCATCTCACTGGACCTGTTACAAAGAATTTTCATGACATAGAAAAATGTGTATGAATTGTACACATTGTAACAAGATGTAACAAATTGAAATGACAAAAGGGGTCCCAATAAGACTTCCCTTATGAAGATGCAGAGGAGCAGAGAACGAAATAAACCATTCCTAGAAAGAAAACTATCCTTCTGCTCCAGGCTGGCCTTAGCACACCCCACACCCTAAAAACTATGGCCGTGCTGGATCCGTGGTTAAGAGCACTGGCTGCTCTTCCAGAGGATCTAAATCCTGTTCCCATCACCCACATGGCTGCTCACAATCATCTTTAACTCTAGTTCCAGGAGACCCAGTGTCGTCTTCTGACCTCTCTGGGCGCCAGGTGCTGGGATTAAAGGTGTGTACCTGGCATATATATAAAATTAGGAGAAAGAAAAAAATCGTGGCTGGCTGGTGGCTCCAGGTCATGGGTCCCGTGGACAGGTCTCACTGAGTTGTACTCAGGGAAGGTCTTCTTCCAGGCTGGTAGCTGGTCTTTCAGCCCTGGCCTCTTCCTCTCACAGCTCAGTGGTATTTCAGAGTCATCCACCATCTTTAATCTGCCTCTCTGTCAGACTGTGGCCTTTCCATACTGTTCTTAACCATGGAGCCATCTCTCCAGCCCCCAATATTCACTTTTTAAAGAGCTATTGAGGGCTGGAGGGATGGCTCTGAGGTTAAGGGCACTGACTCCCTTCCAGAGGTCCTGAGTTCAATTCCCAGCAACCACATGATGGCTCACAGCCATCTATAATGGGATCTGGTGTCCTCTTCTGGCCTGCAGGCAGAACACTATATACATAATAAATAAATCTTAAAAAAAAAAAAAAGAACTATTGAGAGGAACAACTGCTCACCTGGAAGATGAGTGTGGATGTGCACATGCCAAAGGGCATGTGTGGAAGCCAGAGGACAATTCCGGGGCGTTAGTTCTCTCCTTCCACCATGGGATCTGGGCTTTGAACTCAGGTCACTGGGAATGGGCAGCAAGGGATTTTTCCTGCTGAGGCATCATTCTTGCCTGTTCCAGCCTGGTCCCTTTGAAGTCATCAAAATTCCCTTTGCTAAACCCCACCCGAAATAGTTGCCTTTCATCCCTCCGTTCCAACCTCTGGCCTGGTTGCTAGGGACAAGGCACGGCTGCTTCTTTTAAAAAATGTTGAGCCGGGTGGTGTTGGGTGGCACACACCTTTAATCTCAGCACTTGGGAGGCAGAAGCAGGTAGATCTCTGTGAGTCTGAGGCCAGCCTGTTCTACATAGTGAGTTCCAGGACAGCCAGGACTACATAGAGAGATTCTGTCTCAAACAAACAAACAAACAAACAAAAAAGAATGAAAAGAATGTATTTAACATGTATTGGTGTTCTGCCTGCATATAAGTATGTGTACTACATAAGTGTGGTACCTACTGAGGACAGAACTAGATCCCCTGGGACTGAAGTAACAGATGGTTCTGAGCCAAAATGTGGGTGCTGGGAATTGAACCTGGGTCTTCTGGAAGAGCAGCCAGTGCTCTTGATTGCTGAGCCATCTCTCCAGCAGCTATTTGGTTTTTGTCTTCCTTTTGTTTGGATGGATAGGGTTGGGTCATGTATGCCTGTGGTCGCTGTGCATGTTGTTCCCTGTGACGTATTTGTTCTTCATTACATGCATATCCCATCATGCAGAGGCATAAGATGGGACATAGGAGCGTTCCCTAAAAATCCACTGTACTCAAAACCAGTCCATGCACTGCCTCTAGTTCT